CACTTTATAGTTGCTCACTGTCGCTTCTTATCAACCCCCACAAGTCCTGCTCACTCCTGACTCTGCCTCTCCACGCATCTTTGGACTTCCATCAAGTGGGTTCCTCACCTGGCCCACATAAGTCTCCACGACCACTGCCGCTGCCGCTGCCGCCGCCGACTCCGCCGAAGCCATGGACACGATGCAGCAGAACTACGGCACCTATGTCAATCCCCAAGATCTAGAGAATAACCACGGCGACTTCCAGGACTCGTTCTGGCAGATGCGCATCGACCCCAATGCCTACCAACAGCCCTACAACGCTGCCGTCCTGTCTTCCACAACCGAGCGCTCCGGCCGGAAACAGGACTCGGCCCTCGATCTCACTTCATTCTCCAATCAAGCCTACCCCTGCATCAAGGCTGAGGACGACTTCAACACGTTTGTGCACACGACAAACTCCACTCCCACTTCCAACACGCCCTCGCCGCCAGACAACTTTGTCTTTAGCAATGCAAACTCCCCAGGTGACTTTGTGCGCGACCAGAGCCAGACGAGCTCACCCGAAACGTGCAATGACTCCCTCACAAACGACAGCTGGCCCGCCATCCACATCCCTCAACCTGTCGACCAGTCTCAGGTCTTCATCGCCCTCGACAAAAACAAAAACAGGGCCGAAACACAGATCAAGACTACCGTAACAATGGACCCGCTTTCCCCCCACTACCAATGGATTCGCTTCCCGCGCCATAACCTCGCCAAACCAAAGCAAATGGCTAGCACCGAAGAGGTCAATGCCAACGAGAAGAACAACTGCACTGCTCGTCTGCAGCTTACACTGGTGTTGGCAACGGCCGTCGAAAAACCCGACGGCCTGGAACGTGCCTTCCGTCGTGCTAGGGGTGACGAGCCGACACCAAGGCGCCCACGTGGGGTAGCCATCACCGACATTGCCAAAGACGACCGATGCCACCCCCAGAATGGCGGTGCCGTCATCATCTGCGAGGGCTGCAAGGAGCGCGAGGCAAAAAGATTCAACCGCAAGAAGAAGCGTGAGGCCGACGACGAAAAGGAGTGGTCGTCGTACGAGGACGAGCGCATCATCATGATCAACGAAAAGGAGTTCAAGAGATGGCAGGACAACGACAGCCCTGACCATTCCATGAACGCAAAGAAGGTCGAGTTTGTCATGCGCATCACATGCTACTGCAGACACCAAGAAGACAAGTCACCTGTCGGCTACAGAGTCATCTTCACCTTCAAGGACGTCAACGACAACCTCCTTGCGCAGGAGATTTCCGAAATTGTGCAAATCACAGACGACCACAAGAACAAGGAAAATCCTTCCGAAACTCTTAGCTCGTTGACTATTCCCACTGGACCACACGACAGCATGCCCATGCAGTACACTGTCCCCATGTCCGAGTACTCTCCTACTGTCTGCAGCAGTCAGTATTCGCTGCCTACAACGCCTATCGTTACCCAGGCTCCCGGTTTGCCTCACTCACAGAGCATGTTCTTCCCACGGGAAGCACAATATCCTCGCATGATGAACCCCGCTGCCGTTACTCAGGCTCCAACCCAGTCTGGTATGGGTTTCTACGGTACTGCTATGCCTGCACCTGCACCTACTCAGCAATACGCCTCACACCAGCGTGGTCAAAGCTACTTTTCGCCATCCATGCTCAGTCCGACGGGTGAGCAGATGCCCACACAGTCTGGCTACGCACTTCACCGTCCTCATTCTCTGGACAGCTTTCCTCAAGCATTCAACTTCAACTACACTGCGCAACCATCATATCCACAAATCTACTCATCACAACCACCATCGCGGGCTACTTCACGGCCAGCATCGCCAACCTGGGATCAAGGAAGAGGAGCGAAGAAGATGCGGCCTCAGCCCGCTGCTGGCTTCATGTTGTTTGAAGATTTTGAGGAGTAGGCATTTTTGATTGTACGAAAGCACGAAATTACGAACATATGGCACCATGCATAGCGGGCATCAGGGCGGCGTTTCTGGGACCTTTGTTTCTGGGATCAGGGGAAAAGCGTTTTGTCACAGCAATTTGGGCGTCTTGATTTCCACACCCATTTTGCTTTCAACAGAGGATGTTGGACATTTTCTTCTCTCTCTTGCTCTTGCCTTTTTTTGTTCAATCCCTCATAGACTATTTTTCTTCTGGTTACCACTACCAACTTTAATTACTAGACTAAATCCAAGTATCCAATTATCGGCTGCTGGCCCCCTCGCGAGGGCCGCAGACGAGGCTATTCTCACTCTGTATCTGTGTATTGGTTTTCATTTTTTGTTCGTGACATGTGTAAGCCTAGCTAGAGGCTAAAGTGATCCACTGTATCGAAGATCATGTGTCTACTTTATCGCATCATATTGACCCTGTAAGTTCCGAAATATTGAACAGCTGTTTGGAGTTTTGTGGATAAAGAGCTGTGTGATTGTTAAAGTACATGGTGCATTCGGCATGTTCCGCAAGTGAGTTCTCACCCAAATTAATGTACTTGTTCATGTGCATGTTTGATAGAGTGAGGGGATCGTGGAAGGTACCATTTGCGGGCACGATTGCGATAAGGAACACATGTGATTTACAGAGCCTTTCCCCGTCATGCTCCTCTCCTACCTCCTACCTCCCCATGTATCTTAGTCAAGTCTTCCGACGCTCAACAGCGCAGCACAGCATATACCCCCCCTCTCTCTCTCTCTCTTCTTTACCTCTTCCCCTCCACCCCGGTATCACCACCATAATTAACCGAGCACAGCCTAGACATTCACAGGGTCCGCATAGACAGGCAGCGGATAAGCTACGGAAGATAATATAAAAGAACATAGATTACGCGTGTGGGTTGGGTGCAAGTTAGATTGTATACGAGAGAAGAGGCAAGGGCGCAGCGTCGGTTAACTTGAGAAAGGTGGGGGTAGTGGGAATGGCGTTAGCTTTGCGAGCAACGTAGGCATGTAGGCGCGAACGAACTCGAGATTGAGTTGGGTTGAGTTGGGCTGGGCCGGAGAATTATTTTGCTTGCAAAGGGTAATTTGAACGACTGAGTAAGTAGTAGTAGTAGTAGTAGTAGTAGTAGTATCCATTAACGTCCTTTTTCAGTCAGAGACTATGTAGGACGGTGGCCTAGGGCCGTTTGACTAGTTTTTTCCCTCTATACCCGTAGGATTTCGTTTCTTTGGTCGAGTTTGACTATGGGGGTTTGGGTTTTTTGCTTCTATACAGGAAAGAGAGAGAGACCTTGTAATAGACACCCGTTTATCTCCACCTTTGTGACCAATCCCTTTGCTATAATAACCCCGTGCTCCTAAGACTGAAAAAAACCTCGTAGGGGAAAAAGTCATGGGACCTTGAACGTTTGTTGTATATAGCGGCAGTTGCGGCATATTTTCGTCTCGGCGGTACTTTGTGGCTCGGTTGTACGGCGGCGGCTAGCGTTAAGCGTGCGGGGTATTGGTGAAAAACTTTCCAGGTTTCGAAAGGAGCCGTTCGATGTTTTTTGGTAAAGCTAGAATAATAGAATTATTATAGCGGTGAGGGGAGAAGGATTCGAACCTTCAACCTCTGCGAGCAAGCTAGCAGAAGCAACCAGGCGCACTACCACTGCGCCATCCCCCCGACTGAGTAAGTAGATTGTATAGTACAGATAGTGTATTCCATCCATAGTTAGGGAGACGGACAAGGCAAAGACGATGGATGTCCAAACAACCTCCACCTCCACCACCACCACCACCACCACAACCGCCGCCGCCAAAAGGCGTGTCCAAGGCGTTCATGCACATGCAAGTCAGACAGCTGCGATGCGATCTTCAACGACTCCACCATCGCGGTAATATGGGATTGCAGAATCGAGATCATCATGGCTCATTTGCATTGGATTGCTTGCTTACTTCCATTGTCTGACAAGACTATATATATGCTGTGTGACCAACATGAAGGAAAAACGCCCGCGCACGCCCCGTTCATCCATTAGACCGCAGTTGAGTTCAAGTTCAGTTGACTTCGTTTCCTTTGCGTTCGTTCGTTCGTTCGTTCGTTCGTTCGTTCGATTTGATTTGAAATAGATAGCCAAATAGCCGCTACCGATAGTTACCGAGAGCCGATAAGGAAAGATTAGGAAAAAGTAAAAGAGGAGAGGTAAACTCCAAACGCCATGATGATTTTGCACCGAAAGAAGATAAAACAGGAAAGAGGTCGATTACAAAGACCCAAAGGAAACACCAGGAATTCGTCGAGAGAGCCACAACATAACTTGGCTGGCTTTGAATGACCAAGGTGAGGCCGGAACACCTCCCTACACCCACAAAAGACCACCCGAAAAGCCTTGTCTGCGCCGGCATGGCTATTCGGAAAAGCCGCAACGGCCCGAGGCCGCGCCTGCAGTCTGCGCCGCCGCCGCCGCCTGGCTTGACTATACCACGCCTGTCCGAACATGCATGAAGCCCCCCCTCGTGCCCAAAGGCATGTACGGCAAGGCATCTTGCTGCGGGCATCTGTGGTGCATCCGCCGCCAACTCGCATGGCGCAAAGCCGGTTGCGCGATCCATGTACACGACCGTAGGCTAAAAGCCTGCAGCGCTAGCCTTTCTGTACTCTTGAAAGTTGTTGACATGTGAAGCAATTGAGGCATCTTCCTGGCTGCGGAGCTCCTCGTCCCACTTCTCTTCCTCTTGCGCGTGTGCGGCTTCAAAGGCGGCGGATTGGCCGCGGTGGAAATACATGGGTGCGCGCTTGAGGAGGGCGACGTCTTGCGTGACTAGGATGTGCTTGACACTTGAGCCTGGTTCCTGTCAGTGGGCATGCAAGCACGTTGGGGTATGGTGTTGTGGTTGTAACGTACCTGGTGTCTCATACTTTGCCTGCAGAAGCAGCTGGTCAACGACATGTCGCAGTCCGCGGGCGCCAGTTCCCATCTTACTGGCCTTTCTAGCGATCTCGCGTAGGGCGCCGTTGGTGAAGCGCAACTCAATGTTACGGAGAAAGGACTTGTACTCTTCCTGTCGGATGAGGCTGTCTTTGGGTTCAGTGAGGACGCGGACGAGAGCGTGTTCATCCAAAGACGATACAGCGCAGACGGTAGGGATACGACCGATGAGCTCTGGGATCATTCCGAATTTCTGCAAGTCGGCTGGCTGCACGTAGTCGAGAACGTTGACCTTCTCTTCGCGTTTGGGCTGCCTGACACTAAATGGATTCGGCATCTCCGTCTCTTGCGGGACGAAGAATGGCGAGTCCTTCTTGAATGTCTCAGCCTCGACACCGCCCAGCATGACACCATCAGCCGCCGCGTGGGCGCTTGATGCGCGTATCGATGCGCCAAAGCCCATGCCGCTCTTTGACTTTCTGTCCAAAATGATCTTGTGTAGGTTTGAGAATGCGCCAGTGCATATGAAGAGGATGTTGTCAGTTCGAATGTTGAAAACCTCGCCTTTATTACCGCCTGGCCCGGGTGGTGGAGGGCTACCCAAAGGACCTCCAGAGAGCCCACCAGGTCTGTTTGCGCTTCTCTCTGGCTTGGCCTGTACTTGGACAGTTGTGCCCTCGATGATCTTGAGCAGAGCCTGTTGAACACCCTCTCCACCTACGTCTTTACCATACGACATCTTGCTGCCGGCAATCTTATCAATCTCATCCAACACAATGATGCCATGTTCGGTCGCCTCAATATCATAGTTTGATGCAGAGAACAAACGCGCTACACACGACTCGACATCGTCACCAATATATCCCGCCTGTGTAAAGGTAGTGCAATCTGATATGGAGATGGGAAGACCCAGCGTCTTTGCCAGTGTCTTGCACATCAACGTCTTTCCTACACCTGTTGGGCCGAGTATAAGCACATTGGATTTCTCTATCTGCAGCTGGTGCTCGCTGGTATCGAGCAGCGAGTCGACGTCTACGGGGGTGGGCGATGTCGGCCTGTACGAGGGGGCTTCGTTATACGATAGAGGGTCATTATGGCTGTGCAGTTCTACGGTGGACTGTTGGCCCGGGAACTCATCTGGTCTTGTTAGGCGCGTGACGGGAACGGGGCTATGGAGGGAGTAGGGCTACCTTCTACAGGATGTCTATTATACACACTGGATCGTCGCTGCGCCTGGGCTTCCAGTCGTGCCTGCTCATCCAGTTGTCTCTTGAGCTCCTGGATGCGCAAATGGTGCTCGTGGACGGCCACGCTCAAGACTATCTTGGCGCGGTCCTGGTCGACGACGAACTGGTCAAGATGCTGCCTCAACACTTTTGGCGTAATGTGACCCACTCCCACGTTGCTCGTGGAGCCCAACGGGCCTCGCGTGGGCTGGTCAGGCTCATAAAAGGACGAGTAGCCCTGGCCACTGAAGTCGGAGCGATTGAACCTAGAGGACGACGCACGCCGGTGAGACTGTGGCAAGGGTGTGCGGCGGGAGATGCTGTATAGAGCGATATAAGACGCGCGGGCCTGGGGCGATACGGCGACGGGTAGGGCCCGGTGGAGGAGGCGAGGGATCATCATCATAGTGAGAGGTGAGCACAAAGGATGTCACATTCTAGAGTTGAAGGAGCACCGCGAGCGCGCTCCCACGAGACTCATGCGGCTACGGTGAATGAACCGTGGTTGAGCCGCGCTCTAGCTCCCCACGTCCATGGATGAGCCGTAGATGCGGGGGAAGGTCCCAGCCCCACGATTTCCCGCGGCCGATAAGGCAGAAGTAGCCGGCGCCGTGGCTGCCCTAAAACATTGACAACGGTCGCGCGCGTGTAAGAGCGAGGCCAGGAATGAAACCGCCTTGGACATTGCGGATACCCATCGGACGGACATCGCAGGGCAAATCCTTCACCATGCGGCCCTCTGCGCTGTTGGGACAAGTGGCGTGGGCGCGATGCCTGTTCAAGCTGCCTGAGCTATGACGTTGATTGTTGGGTTGGCAACGAACTTTTGGTTGAGAGCAGCGCTCAGCAATCGGGTTAAGCACCCCGCAAATTTCAATTCCTCTCCCCTGCTATCAGGCGAAGAGGGTCGACTTTGCAATTGAACCTTGCAAGCTGTGGAGCCTGCCTTGTCCTGCATTTCCCATATAGCTTTCTCTGCTAGCAACCTTGACTGTGCTCTCCACCACTATCACACACCATGGACCTCAACAGCGCTTCAGCAAACTCGACCATGAGCGACACCCCGGGGCAGGTCCCCAACGATGGAACCGGTACGGATCATCATGGCATTACAGCTGTCACTCAATTGACTAACACAATGGCCTGCAGGCATCATTCAGATGGATGGCTACCTCGAGCCGTTCAAGGACGCTCTCAAGAGCCGCTTCTCCAAGGCTCAGAAATGGATCAAGACCATTGAAGAGACCGAGGGCGGCATGGAGAAATTCTCGCGGGTACGTACTATGCATTGCTATCCCCAGCCGAGTAGCTGACAGGTCTGCAGGGCTACGAAAAGTTCGGCTTCAACGTCCAGTCCAACGGTGACGTCGTATATCGCGAGTGGGCCCCGAATGCTCTGCGCGCCTACCTCATTGGTGACTTCAACAACTGGGACCGCGATGCGACGCCCATGACCAAGAATGACTTTGGTGTCTTCGAGGTCACTGTGCCTGGCAAGGACGGACAGCCCAGCATCCCCCACGACTCCAAGATCAAGGTACGTTTGTTGGCTGGAATGGAAAATCAGCACTAATTGAATCCCCCAGGTGTCCTTTGTCGTCCCCAACGATCATGCTCGTCAGGAGCGCCTTCCTGCCTGGATCACCCGCGTGACCCAAGACCTCAGCGTCTCCCCCGTATACGATGCCCGCTTCTGGAACCCTCCCCAGAAGTATGTATGGAAGAATGAGAGACCACCAAAGCCTCAGAGTGCGCGTATCTACGAGGCCCACGTTGGTATCTCATCGCCTGAGCCCAAGGTGGCCACCTACAAGGAGTTTACGCAAAACACCCTACCCCGCATCAAGCACTTGGGATACAACACTATACAATTGATGGCGGTCATGGAGCATGCCTACTACGCCAGTTTCGGATACCAAATCAACAGCTTCTTTGCGGCGAGTAGTCGCTATGGCTTCCCAGATGATCTGAAGGAGCTCATTGATACTGCGCATGGCATGGGTATCACTGTGTTGCTCGACATGGTACACAGTCACGCATCCAAGAACGTGCTCGACGGTCTGAACATGTTCGATGGAAGCGATCACTTGTACTTCCACGAGGGCGCCAAGGGACGACATGAGCTGTGGGACAGCAGACTGTTCAACTACGGTCACCACGAGGTTCTGCGCTTCCTGCTCAGCAACTTGCGTTTCTGGATGGAGGAGTACCACTTTGATGGTTTCCGATTCGACGGTGTCACCAGCATGCTGTACACTCACCACGGTATTGGAACGTAAGTGGTTATCATTCCTTGTGCTATTATGCACTAACGCATTAATAGGGGTTTCTCTGGTGGTTACCACGAGTACTTTGGCGACTCTGTAGATGAGGAGGCCGTTGTATATCTCATGATCGCCAACGAGCTGCTGCACACACTCTACCCATCTTCCATCACAATTGCGGAAGACGTATCGGGTATGCCCGGTCTTTGTGTGGCACTCTCACTTGGTGGAATAGGATTCGACTACAGATTAGCCATGGCTGTACCTGATCTTTACATCAAGTGGTTGAAGGAGAAACAGGATATTGACTGGGACATGGGTGCTCTCGTTCACACCCTGACCAACAGACGGCACGGCGAGAAGACCATTGCGTACGCTGAGAGCCACGACCAAGCGTAAGTGAAACACCCAGTATGCATGACCATTGCTAATATTCTTCAGGCTTGTTGGTGACAAGACACTGCTCTTCTGGCTTTGCGACGCACAAATGTACACAAACATGTCCGTTCTGTCGGAGCTGACGCCCGTGATTGACCGGGGTATGTCTCTGCATAAGATGATCCGATTGATCACACACGGTCTTGGTGGTGAGGGCTACCTCAACTTTGAGGGCAACGAGTTTGGTCACCCAGAATGGCTCGACTTTCCTCGAGAGGGCAACAACAACAGCTTCCACTACGCCCGTCGCCAGTTCAACCTCCCAGACGACGAGCTTCTCCGCTACAGGTTCCTTAACGAGTTCGACAGCAAGATGCAATGGACAGAGGAGAAGTACGGATGGCTGCACTCGCCCCAGGCCTACGTCAGTCTCAAACACGAAGGTGATAAGGTCGTTGTGTTTGAGCGCGCCGGGCTCTTGTGGATCTTCAATTTCCACCCTCAGAGCAGCTTCACCGATTACCGCGTTGGTGTAGAGCAGGAGGGTACTTACCGTATCGTCCTCAGCACAGACAGCAAGGCTTTTGGAGGTCATGGTAACGTCGATGAGACGACAAGATTCTTTACCACGCCGTTTGCGTGGAACGAGAGGAAGAACTTCTTGCAGGTCTACATTCCCTGCAGGACCGCCATCGTCCTTGCTCTGGAGAGCACCTTGTAGAGAGTGTATCGACAGATAATGCGGCTGGAGTTAGATCCAACGTTGAAGATTATGATAGCGACCGCATTCACTAGCGAGAGTGGCTAGATGCCTATAAATGATAGAAATATGATTAGTTATGCATCAGAACATTGTCAATTTGTGAAGCCTTGTGTGTTTCTGTGACAGACTCAGGGCTGACTGACATGCGGCTGTGGTGCGTTGCTACAAGTTTTTATCAATATATCCGCAGTCTCATGTACTTAGTAATTTCTCTTGCTCTAATGATGTAGTCGTCACATAGAAGAAGACATTCTATGGACTGAAAGCAAGGAAGCTGATAAAAAGATATGCATGAGGGATACGTACCTACCAAGAGGTGAGAATGTGATTAAATTACGTGGATGGAGTGTCCCAGACGTTGAGATAGACACGGTGTTTGTGATACAGGATGAAAGTTTGCAGTTGAGTGCATCGATTAGGCTAAAGATTATAGTATGTATGCACGCAGGGAGAAGAAAATAAGTAGAGGGTAATATTTAGGGTTTATGCAAAGATGCGTGGAGTTTACATAGTGTTTAACGGAGTTGTAAATTAATTTGCTAGGGCAGGATTTGATAAAGAGTTGTCAGGTCGTGCGAAGATGGAACGTGGATGGGTTGGAAGATTAGATAGTGGGATTTCGGTGGCTTTGCAGGACCATGTAGTGCGGACCACCCGGGTGATATGAAATACTTGACATACTAGTGTATAGAGGTCACTGTATGCGCCAGACACTGCTTACCCACACTGTCAAGTATTTTATTTCACCCAGGTACGGGCTACGAAGGATAGTGTAGGTTAGGGCATTGTGTGAGAAGTGCTTAGATGAAGGCATAATAGTGATGTCTTCATATATTCTTATAGCAATTCAATTAGACTTGGCAACTGCAGGTAAGAGTGGTGGGGACGGAGAAGTGTGAATGTAAGGCACGTCTGACTTTGATAGAGAGCGTAAATCCGAGCAATTGAGGGCTGATAGTTAGGCATAGATAGTCTCAGGGCTTGAAATACCCCGTAGGCTGTACGTAAAGTTGAGGCATGGCAAATACAGACGTTGTTAGGGTCCGGGTATTCTTGGTGAGGTGTTGAGTTGTAGACCGACGGTGGGTCGCCCTACTGGACTCTGTGGCAGCATACTTGCCTTTGTAGAATACAGAAGCAATTGCGGATGAAGTCTACCGCGCTGTGTAGATTTCGTTTTTGGCTGATCTTGGATAGACAGTCGTCATAGCGTAACTGCTGGCGTGCGCTACAACATTACAATCCGATGCACTGTGTGTTGCGTCACAAGGACGCGATCGTAAGCATGTGTACAACGGCTTGATAAACTTGAAATTAAGTCCGCTAATCATTGAGTTACCCGTTATGTCATGTTCTGCATTCTTGTACGGCTCAAATGAATGCGATCTCAATGGAGTGGTGATATCTGTATATTCGGGATGATTCGGGTGGGGGTTGCCAAGACTTGCGCATTGTCGAACAAGACCACAAAACAGCATACTTGTGAAGTGGAAATGCCCAGGTAGACTCATGGAAAGAAGGTCGACGATTTTCAGACACCAACTAATCAATTGAAAGTTGGTAGAAGGTAAAGGTACGTCTCTCCGAGCTGGGTACTAACCATGTTGCGCTAGCCGAAGCACGGATCTTTTCGGTGCCTTCCTGCTGAGCTTGAAGAGCTCTTTCCTCAAACAACCACCCTCTCTCCACTCACCACATCGCCCATCACACATCTCACAATGTTGAAGAGGTACGTAATGGGTCCATTGAGTCCAATTGACGATGAATTGAGATGGACTGACGCCTTTTCGATAGTGGGATCCAGCAGGCGCTCCGCGCTTCTATGCGCAGGCCGGCCATCCGCCGCAGCGCATTCCAGCCCCTCAAGAAGAGCTTCGCTCCCGCGCTTTCAACCCGCTTCGCCAGTACCGATGCAGCAAACCATGGCAAGATTCATCAAGTCATTGGAGCCATTGTCGATGTAAACGAACCCGTTCTCTACCCATCGTTGCTATAAAAAACTTTTCACGTTGTTCTATGGAGGAATTTTGACTTGGCCATCTACGACTGTCACCACGAAACGATTGCTAACAGAAGAATTGCAGGTCAAGTTCGACACCGAGCAGCTCCCTGCTATTCTCAATGCCGTCACAACCCAGAACGGTGACCAGAAGTTGATTCTCGAAGTTGCTGTAAGAATGCCAAGAAGTGGATATGTGGAACAGCGTCACTGATACAGCGCAGCAACATTTGGGTGAGAACATCGTCAGATGCATTGCCATGGACGGTAAGCAGGATTCATATGTTCGTACAGCTGAATCAATGCTAATTGAATCCTCAAGGTACCGAGGGTCTCGTTCGAGGTTCCAAGGCCACCGACACTGGTGCCCCCATTAAGATTCCCGTTGGTCACGGTACCCTCGGACGCATCATGAACGTCACCGGTGACCCCATTGACGAGCGTGGTCCCATCAAGGCTACCAAGTACGCGCCCATTCACGCCGACCCTCCTGAGTTCACCGAGCAATCCACCTCCGCCGAGGTCCTCGTCACTGGTATCAAGGTCGTCGACCTGTTGGCTCCCTACGCCCGTGGTGGAAAAGATTGGTCTCTTCGGAGGTGCCGGTGTCGGAAAGACTGTGTTCATTCAAGAGTTGATCAACAACATCGCCAAGGCCCACGGTGGTTTCTCCGTCTTCACTGGTGTCGGTGAGCGTACCCGTGAGGGTAACGATCTGTACCATGAGATGCAGGAGACTTCCGTCATTCAGCTTGACGGTGACTCTAAGGTCGCGCTGGTTTTCGGTCAGATGAACGAGCCCCCGGGTGCCCGTGCACGTGTCGCCCTTACAGGTCTTGTAAGATACCAATTCCTTCACCCTATTGTTTCTTGTGCTAATGAATGAATCGAGACGGTGGCAGAATATTTTCGCGATGCTGAAGGCCAGGACGTGTTGCTCTTCATTGACAACATCTTCAGGTAAAATTTCCAATACTCTATTTTTACAACATTCGCTCACAAAATTTTAGGTTTACCCAGGCCGGTTCTGAGGTATCTGCTCTGCTTGGTCGTATTCCTTCTGCCGTCGGTTACCAGCCCACCCTCGCCATTGACATGGGTGTTATGCAGGAACGTATTACCACTACCACCAAGGGATCCATTACCTCCGTCCAGGCCGTCTACGTCCCCGCTGACGATTTGACCGATCCCGCCCCTGCCACCACCTTCGCCCATTTGGACGCCACCACTGTCTTGTCCCGTGGTATCTCCGAGTTGGGTATCTACCCCGCTGTCGACCCTCTTGACTCCAAGTCCCGTATGTTGGACCCCCGTGTCATCGGTGAGGACCACTACAACACAGCCACCCGTGTCCAGCAAATTCTCCAGGAGTACAAGTCGCTCCAGGATATCATTGCCATTCTCGGTATGGACGAGTTGTCGGAAGCCGACAAGCTCACCGTCGAGCGTGCCCGTAAGATCCAGCGTTTCTTGAGCCAGCCTTTCGCTGTCGCCCAGGTCTTCACTGGTATTGAGGGCAAGCTTGTCGACCTCAAGGACACCATCCGATCATTCAAGGCTATCTTGACTGGTGAGGGTGACGACCTTCCCGAGGGTATGTTATTCTCCTATTTGCAACCATAGACATGACACTACGTTTCTAGGTGCTTTCTACATGGTCGGTGACTTTGAGTCAGCACGCGCCAAGGGAGAGAAGATTCTTGCTGAGCTCGAGAAGTCATAGATGGACTTTTGTGGTGGGTGAAGAGTCGGCCAGTGTGTCTAGGGCAGTTCGCTGGTATTCTCACTTTGTACAAAACATATACCTCGGAAAAACGTGGGATTATGAGCGAGTGCTTTAACGTGCATGGCTTCCTGTAATCTATCTTACATGAAGAGACAGCTTTTTCTTGTTCAACAAATCATGGTCTCTCTGCTTGTGCTGTTTTTGTGGCTAATCACGTTAGTTGGCTGTTTAGAGTACTGTGTTTTCTGTCAGCGATAGTTGTAACATGCGACATCTTGGAAGAGCGTGATAGGATACATAGGCGTTTTGACAGCAGAATAGGGCCGGGAAGTAGGACCCAGGTGGCTACAAAGCCTTGAGCCCGAGTCGTATCCTAACTGAACGTCCCCTGGATACCTCCTGGCTGCTAGTCTCCATTACCTCTCAGCCAACACATTTCTGAACACCAAGCTGTCCCCAGCGTCCTGATCCTCAATAATGAACCTATATTCTGGAAAGACAGAGATGGCAGTAAATGTAGAAGCGATGGCGAATATATTGGCGCGAGATCTTACCGTTACACACCTCGCCGTGCAGCCTCTTTATGGCATAAATTCTACACCGATATCTATCCCTTCTCTTATATTTATAGCATTCATGCGTTAATACTTGCGAGTTGGTTCTTTTTAGTTATTCTCCGTTGTATAAATTTTGTTCACGTACCAGTGCATAGTTCACTCAGTGACCGTTAACGTAGCTAGAAATTATAGGATTCACTGCTCTTATTCTACTTAAAGAGTGTTAGATTTTAATCATAGCCTAGGCGGGTAATGATATTAGAGAAGTATTGTATTACTAATACAATAACAAACTAGGTTCTGTTTCTAAGACTAACCGGAAAAGATAGGGCTTTGGCGAAGATAAAGCTGAACGTAATTTTAGAGGCAACGTCTCTTAAGATGATAAGACAGCTATTAGCGTCTCTCTATCGCGTAACCCACCATCGTTAATGTTATCTTCCTCTTTTATCGCTTCCAAAACAAGTCTCATACAGGACTAGTGTCACTCTTTTACTCCTATTTTCTGCATGCGCCTCGTCTATCCATGCCCTTCTTACTCTTACTAGTGGCGATGCACACGTCCACATACGTCTCCCCAACTAGATCAGGTGGTCCGGGTTCGAATTGACAGTACTCTACGGCTACTAACACACTTACCGCCTCAACTGCTCGTACCGCAGCATTCATTAGCCGATGGGCAATCTGAGAGAGTACCAGACGTAACCCTCAGCTAGTCTTTGCCTTTGCTTGGCTTTAGAATCTTGGATATATGTCTCTTTTCCCCTGAAGACCAGGACCACCATTCACACTTTTATTTTCACGTGCCATGCGGTCCCCTCATCACCTATCATTTCGGATAGAACCCTCTAGAATATTCACACCACTTACGTAGGCCACTTAGTTAACGCAAATTCTGTTGGGTACACATCTCTCTACTACAGACCGCGCGGTACTTCAAGAGACCAGCCCGCAAACATTTTCTAATACACATCTCTTTTTAGGAGAACAGGGCCATCATCGAAGTATTTATCGGTCGCGCAGTCCGTAAAGCGGACTAGCCCGTTGATTTTGAATGCTGGATACACGTCTCTATCCATCGGAATCATTGTATATCACTGCCTGTTGGAGTCTCCAAGCTGTCCACCGATATCCCTACGAATTAGGAAAATAATGTATGTTAGCATTGCAGAATCGCTATTTTAGAGCAAAAGACAAGATCAAAATAAATAGCTACAACCAAACAATAGTGAGAATAAGAGGTTACCATGATGCCGCTGAAACACATGTCTCTTCCTTCGACGGCCAGGACCATTATAGAAACCTTTTGCACCTTACGAACTGCCAAACTCAATCTAAATGCGCCAAATACCCTCTATACCTTATATGTGTTTCTATTCTCTGGATAATCAAGATTATTATGGTAACTTCTACAACCTCCTGCAACATCTGCAACCCCCCAGATCCATTCTTCCTGGACCACACATTCCCTTCACTTCATTGATCCGATCTTGAAAGCTAAAGATAAGCGTTTCGATGCATGATCTGATGAGATTTTGCGGATGCTCGCCGTCTTCATACTCGGAGAGCGGTTTGCTGATGACTTTGTACTCATCACACACTGTAAACACCCTAAACGCTTGCAAATAGAGTTATGTCAATAGAAAAATTTCCAATGTCTTACGTCGCGTATAATATGTGAATATACGCTACGCTCTTTCTTAGTCTTAAGTTGAGGACTATCCAATAGTCTGTAATGAAAGTTATGCACTAACAGTGTGCACGATGCTGTGTCGTGCGTTGAAGAAGGGGTGCATGGAATAAAGACCAAGAAAAGTGATATACTTATATACAGCCTTAGAAAGCACATCTGCTATATAATCACACTTGCCAATTCCACTTCCCATCACGATGACCGAAATCATCAGCACGAAACTGCTGATATCCACCTACCAAAGACTCCACGCCCTTTCCCACTTCAGCAAATAATTCATCATCCATGACAAAGAGACATCAGCTCTCGTACGTGAGAGCATCGTAAGCGCGGCCGCGGTCTATTTAATTTGTCATCAAAGGCCCTATTGATACGAAGAAGTTAAACATGTCTCACTTCACTGTGGCAAAAAGTATCGACGCCTTGGCCTCGGCCGCGGACACCGAGATGTGTCGTCAAGCTCATCAGCCCTATGTATGTTACCTACCGTGCCGAGCCGCCCTCGCGTAGGCGAGATGTTACACAACTTCATGGTAGCGACACATCCTTGCATAACTACCTCTCGCATATAGTTTCATATAGTCAGCGGCTGTGGTATCTTCCACTTCCACGTCTGGCATTAATTCTGTGTCTGGGAATATGTTGTGAAGCCGTAGGGCAGGCGGGTAATATCTGTTACAAATCATGGTGGTCTGCAGGTCAGGGCTTCAGTTGTTGCTACCAAATCGAGGGGTAATTATGACGACCCTATAAGATTTTGGACAGTCTATCCAAAGATCTAGCCATTGATGGTTCAAAAGGTGGCCCCTTGATTTATAAGTATATGCACGAATTGTCGATAACTATGCCGTCACTAGAATTCACATGATGATTGCTGTGTACACTACTAAACACATGCGCATCTTTAGTCATGGCTTCACCAAGTGCAACTCGACATGGTGAGGGTAGAGCGCATGTATTTGAGAGTGCGTACATCGTACGTGGT